TTTCCACTTGAGCCCCTTTTATCAGCTCCTCTTTTTTTCCCTTCCTCCCCCCACCCAGTTCTCTTACATTTTATGAGATATCCTAAACACATAATTATCCTCATTTATGTGACAGGAGAAATTGTTGCATGTGCTTTTTCCATTGGGATTATTTTGCACTTTTTCTAAGTTTATTGGGATTCAAAAGAACCACACTAAGACTCCAAATTGCAGGAAGAAACAAAATATCTCAAGGAAGTAACAATGGAGAAACAAGCAAACAACAAAGCAAATAAAATAGAAACCAAAGAAACAAAAACCAAACTCCTCCCCAAACTTCGAAATGGAAGTAGTCATATGTCAGGATCTGTGCAATTTTCTTTTTCTAGATTTTACAGCAACCATCATTTTATTTCAAAGTGATTATTACTTATTAGTTTCTCTCCTGATTCCCCCCCCTTTTTTTTTCTAAACAGGGAGGTATTTTTTCTTTTTTGTAAAACATGGTAAACTTTAAAAATAGAAGTCACTGACAAACGTTAGATTTTAAGTGAAGTATGTCTTCTGAGGATCGCTCCAAGGGGGACAACTGAAAGAGCAAATCCATGTGCTCATATGTATGTCTAGTGCAGCACTCTGCAATAGCAAACGTGATAACCTGTATGCTAAAAATAGTGATTAATGACTTGTATACATCTAGTAAGTTAACTAACAATGATGGTAGTTACTACATAGGCTAATCAAGAATGATAGTTCTAAAAACTTTGAGGCAGCATGAGAAATAGTGGAGAAATAACAGTAAAGGAAAAAATGAGGGGGTGAAGATATTCTAAATCATAAAACCATTAGAATATCGACAATATTTGTAAAGTATTGACAAACACTGGAGAAATTTTTCAATAAGAATTTGCACGACAATGGTGGAGTTGTTTATTTTTCACCTTCTACTTCCATTTTTTTGGGAAGCTATTTTATTCTCTGAAGAATCTTTTTTTTCTCTTTGCATGTTCACATTGGAGGAAAATGGATCAGAATCTCATCTTTAACATGGAGTCAATTTTCAGTGTTTCTGGATTCAGAGGGTAACTGAATTTTTTAACTAAATCAAACACTTTTTCAGAAAAAAAATGAAGTAGGCAGGAGGAGGAGAAAGAATTACTATTATCCTTAGTATTAAAGAAAAAAATCCTTAAGCTATAGTTTTAATTTTCACAAATAAAATCAATGCATCCAAGATTAATCTCTCTCAAAGAAGCAGTGTTAAAAAAGAAAATAAACACAATGTTTATTAGTTGCTTCTAAAACAGAACAACAAAGAAATGGCAGATAAATTTCTCATTCCTATCCCAAACCTAGAGACCTGGATCTTGTCAAGAAAAAAACCTCTTCTCTCAGGTTAATCTTAGTGATGGCTTCAGAGGGGAGATATGAGGCATCAATTAGCATCATTCAGTTACCGCCCCCCACCCAGCCTAAAATAGCCAGGTCATTGAGACAAAACTGATTTTGGGGTCAGAAAGGTCTGTATCTCCCCCCAGCTGTCTCTCTCTTTCCCTTGTGCTCCTGCAGCTTCTGATTATGTACACGGGGGCCATTTCTTTCTTTCTTTCCTTTTTTTTTGGTGGGGTAGTGGAAGGGGGAAGAAGGATTAGAACTCAGTGAAACAGCTTATTAAAAACAGCAACAATGACTCAGTTTCAATTTAATCTCTGGGAAAAGTTAAATTTACTAATTTCAGAAGATGTGAAATTAGCAGACTCAAGTAAATTTGTAGGTTCTTCTACAGTCATGAAAAACACATTAAATAACTAATATCTGCTAGCATTTAGATTTCTATTGTAATTTTAAGTGAAAAACAAAAACCCTCCACCAACCTAAAAGGGAACTCCCAATTTAACGATTATTTTTTTGGTTTGTTCCCCTTTGAACCTGGGATTTTAAAGGGCGGGCTGCATTTTGCGGGAGTTCAGCGTTCTGGGTGGAGATGTTTGTGGCATGTAGCTTGTTTTTGTTTGGGGGCTAAAGAGATAGAGCAGTGTGCGGGTCCCCCAGGGAGAAAACCTGAGAGTTGCTCCCACAAATACGTAATGATTTAAATTACATGAAGGCTACGGTGCTGGGATGCCCTCCCTGCCCAGTCCACCAGTACAACAGGGGAGATTTAAAGAGGTTTGGGCGCCTACTTAAGAGAACGCAAGCGCTTTTCTCACCCTATTTTCAAAAGTTCACCCCCAGCACCAAACAAAGTCCCCGGAGGAGACACAGAACCACACATTCTGGCCAAGATCATTGCTATTTTCTGGACTTGTACGTTTCCTCTTCATTTTATTTGCTCGCCAGTCTGTCCACTTTAAAAATGCTTACAGCGCGCCTACTGTGTGATCAGGCACCGCTCCAAACCGGGCTTGTGATCAGATAAAGTGAGGAGGGGGAGGGAGAAGCGGGGGGATGGGACAAGGCTGCCTCCCCCCACCCCTCCCAGGGCAGAAAACACTCCCCCGCCCCCCGTGCATCAACAAATAGCTTATAGTATCTTTTTTATTTCTGCTGCCCCGTGGAAAGGAAAACACCGCAAAAATCGAGAAGGCGACAAACACGTGGCTGGCTGGAACAAAACGTCGAGTCGGAGTGGCCCTGGAAGGTGGTGGAGGAGATGGCGAAACCGGCTGCGTTGGAAGCCCCCGCCTCAGCTCCAAACCGGTTTTGTCTCTTGCCCCCGGAGAGCCGGCAAACGAGCGGGGGGCGGACAAAGGTGCTACGTGTGGTCCTTGACCCCCGGCTTCTTGAACCGTTTAACATCCCCCCGCAGCAGAACGGTGAGCCCAAGTCGGAGCCCACGGACCGACTGCGAACGAAAAACAGTAACAATGAAACATTCAAGGCATTCCTCCCGCTGTAGGCAACACGTGTGGAGGAGCTGGGCTCGGGTCCCGGGCGACTCCGAGACAATGGGGTCGGGACGGGGGAAGGGGAGAGTGACCCCCTTCCTCACCGGACCTCGCAGCACGTGTGCCCAGGGCAGGACTGCGCCCGCCTGCAGACGCCAGCGCAGGACGCGACTTTCCGCCCAGTTCGGGTGACTCCGGCTGGCCCGGGGGGTCAGCTCCCTCTCCCTCCGGATCCCTGGCCCAGGGGCCTCTGGGGTCCCCGGGCCGCGCTTTCCGCCACGCCCTGGCACCGTCGCAGCACCCGCCGCCGGGAACTCGTTGGTCTCGCCCCGGGCCGGGGACCCCG